TGTAGGGCCGTGAGCATGAACAGCTGTGTGAGCTTGGTCTCTGAACCTGAGCTTCGTCCCCTGTGAGAAGGGGCGTCTCTGTCCCTCTGCGCTGCTCTGGCAGCTTGGTGGGGTGGGGTCACTTGGTAACGCCCCAGCACAGCAGACAGGGAGGGAGGCTCAGTCACGCTGAGGTGACTCTCAGTGGTAGACAGGAGAGGGTCCCACGGCGGAGGGCGGGCTGGGCGGGTCAGCGGCTGAGCCTGGGCCCTCACGCCCGTGTTCCTTACCCTGGACCGTGTCTCAGCCGTCTGCCCTGCCTCCCCATGGGTGAAAGGGCACGTGCGAAACACCAAGTCGGGGAATGGTCCGGGTTGCTGTCCTGTCCGGGTACGAGGAGCAGCGGTTCCCCAAGGACGCCAGGCATGCCGTGTAGAGGCAAGGGGTCCCATCCCTCCTGGGAAGCAGCGACGGCGGCCCTGTGATAGGGACCTGGGAAACTCACCCAGAGAGGCGGAGCCACTGGGCTGAGCAGAGGAGCCGGCCACCAGAGCCTCGTGGCACTTACAGCGGCCGTGAGAGCTGGCGCCTGCCCCCCATGCTGAGGCCACAGGGCGCCAGCACAGGAGGAGGGGGACTCGGAGAGTGACACCCCTGGGGGACATCAACTGTCAGTTTTACCAAAGCTCTAGCAGCCTTCTCTTCCCCAAGCCCGTCACAAGCCCCACTTGGACTGACAGGAAGTGCGTCCCATCCCAGAGATGCTGGGCCACTGGGGAGAAGGACTAGAGCCCCCGGGCACCCCTGGGCACCCTTCTGGAAAAGGCGCCCTGCCAGTCTCCCTTCCTGAGCAAGATCTTCCCTGACACCCAGCCCCGTACCTTGGCGGGGGTGCAGAGAGGACAAGCCCACTGGTGTCACTCCTCCCCTCCTGCGCTGTCCTGTCTCCCTACCAGAGCAGGAAGCACCCTTCCCTGCACCCTGCACGTGGAAGGCCCTGTCACCCCTCCACCATGCCAGACTCCCACCACAAGTTGCAGAGTCTGTACAGCAAAGGGTCCAGTCTACCTGGAGCCTGTGCCTCCCGTCTAGACCGCATTCCGAGTACCCTAACTCCCCACATACAGGGCCCCACCTGTGTTCCGTCTAGGCGGGCCTCTCCCCTGGGTCCTTGTTCCCAGGGCAGACACTGCTGGCTGCAGGTCTCTGACTATTCGGGAGGAGCATGGATGAACTTGGCCCTGGAGACTGGGGCAGCCACGGCCCCTGGCAGTGTGGCGGCAGCCAGGAGGGGCTGGGAGCCTGCAGCGGGCTTTCTCTGCACCTCCGCCTTCCAGCGTAGTCCCTGAGGACCCTGCGGCACGGAGTTCAGCTGGCGCTCCGGCTCTCATGCAAACAGTTCCGGTCGAGGTGGGGGTACACGGCATGCTTTACTTCACAACGTGAAGGCGTGGTTCATAGATTCTGCACGTCGACGTGTGGCGTGTGGACTCCCACCCGTAATCTCACCCCAGCCCCGTGAACACTGAGCGTGGGCGAGGCGAGGCCTTCCGTCCCGGGTGTGCAGCCCCGGCCGTGTCCCAGCCTCACTCTCCCTCCTCTGGCCCCTTGGCTCACCCAGACCGGACGTGGACCTACTCCTTCTCGGGCGCCATCCTCTTCTCCATGGGCTTCCTCGTCGCGGTGCTCTGCTACCTGAGTTACAGATACGTCACCAAGCCACCTGCGCCTCCCAATTCCCTGGTGAGCTTTCCCCACACCCTGCCCCGCCCAGCAGGAGGAAGTGGGTCTCCCCGAAGTGCAGGGGTCCTCACACAAAGCAGGTGAGGCCTGCCTTCTCCCCGGGGACCTCGCCGTCAACCCCAAGTTGACAAAGGCGTGCCCATAGGTCTCAGAGTGCTTGGAGGGGCTGTGACTAGGGAACATGGAAGAGTCAGAGCCAGGTGGTAGTGGAGGACCCAGGGTCGCCGCGGGGTGGAGGAAGGTGGGCACCACAGGGTGTGGCCTGGCGCCCCATCTCAATGGGCTGCCGTGAGCCGCTGCCGGGAAGGAGGCCCACATCACCCCAGCTTCACGTTGTTGCAAGCGACAGCAGAAGTCCAGACTGTCGTGCGAAATCCCTTGATTTCCAAATGCCAGCAGCTACTGAGAGCTGGGCAGACGTGAAGCCCCATACAAGCACACCTGTCACGTGAGCAGCCCCCGCCAGACTGCCAGGGTGCCTCTGCTAAGGAGCAGGTCCCGCTCTCCCTGCTGAGGGGCCAAGGAGCCCCGAGGGCATCTCACTCGATGGCGAAGTCCAGAGAGAGCATTTTCCATGGAGCCCTGCCGGCCCCACCTTGCCCCTGTGTCAGGCTCTCGGGGCACCCTGCTAAGAGCATGCTCCAGGGCAAGCCCATGTCTGGGTGATCTACTTCCTGGGTTATCTGCCTCCTAGCGGAACCACAGCCAGCCTCTGCCCAAGCGAGACCAGACTTGAGCAATGGCCCCAAGCAAAGGCAGAGCGACCTGCCCCTTCACCAAGGCGCTTGCCTTTGGAGGACACTCTGGGAAAGGAGCAGGCGTGGGCCTACACATCTTGGGAAAGCCCCAGACGGTCCGCCCCTGCCCCTCGGGCTCCCTGGGCCCCCTCAACATCAGCATCAGGGAGCTCAGAACCTGTACTAATGGGGGTCTCTTATCCCAAGCAGAACGTCCAGCATGTGCTGACCTTCCAGCCGCTGCGGTTCATCCAGGAGCGAGTCTTGATCCCCGTCTTCGACCTCGGCGGCCCCAGCACTTTGGCCCAGCAAGTCCAGTACTCTCAGGTCAAGGTCTGCGGGCCCAGGGAGCCCCCAGGAGCTCCCCAGTTGCATGGCCTGTCTGAGGTCACCTACTTAGGACAGTCCGACCTCGCCCTCCAGCCCACCAGCGTCCCACCTCAGCAGACACCCACCCCCCTGCCCTATGCCCCGAATGGGGTCCCTGAGGTTAGGCCCCCATCCTATGCACCGCAGGTAACCCCCAAAGCAAAATCCACAGACTACACTCCACAGGCCACCTCTAAGGTCCTACCGCCCGCCTACAGCCCTCAGGCCACCCCCGACAGCTGGCCTCCCTACGGGCTGTGCATGGAAGACTCTGGCAAGGACTCCCCCCCTGGGACACTCTGCAGTCCCAAACACCTCGGGCCTAAAGGCCAGCTCCAGACGGAGGCCCTGGCTGGACACTGCATCCCAGGGGGCCTTTCTGTGCATGGAGTGATGTCCTTGGCTATGGAGGAACCCCAAGAAGCAGAATCATCCCACCTGCATCTTGGGGTTGGCACTGACAGAGTCCCGGACCTGGATCTGCTATGCACAGGGGAGCCGGGGACACCCCGGTGCCTGAAGGGCCAGCTGCCCCTCCTCTCCTCTGTTCAGATCGAGGGCCACCCTGTGTCCCTCCCTTTGCACACTCCTTCCCTTCCATGTTCCCCCTCCAACCAGGGTCCAAGTCCGTGGGGTCTGCTGGACACCCTCGTGTGTCCCAAGGACGAGAGTCCCGTGTATGAGGCCGAGGCCCAGAGCCCAGCCCCTGGGGCCTCAGAGCCGGAGCAGCTGGCCGGGCTGGACTCGCTCTTCAGAGGCCTGGCCCTGACGGTGCAGTGGGAGTCCTGAGTGGAGAACCAGCCAGCGGGGGAATCCTCCCCAGCCCATCAGCATCACATTCTTTGGGGTCTGTCCCACGCCCAGCTGTGCCACACAGGTCACGGCCAGTCCCAGGCCTGTGCCCTTCAGAGAACCAGAGCAAGGAAGACACCTGGCCCGGGCTAGGGTGGGCTCTTCTTGGAAGAGAAAAGCGTGGTGAAGACTGCAGCTGAGGCGACACCTGCGCACGGCTCGGCGGTGCTCACAGCTCGCTGGCGCGCAGGGCACGGCGGCGCACATGGCTCAGCGGCACGCACAGCTCGGCAGTGAACACGGCTCGGCGGTGCGCACGCAAACAGCTGCTTGAACAGCGTGGGCTCACAGTGTGGGTGCTGCGGGGAGCCAGAAGGTCAGAGTGTGGAGAGAGGATGCAGGGAACCCTCCCGGGGTCCAGAGCCCCTGCCGTGATACGCTGGACCCAGAGTTCCTGGGGCCTGCCCCCTCTCCCCTCTCCCGGCCATTGTCACAATCCAGTCCAACAGAGAGTGAGGCCTCTGCCTCTCCTGTGATCGTCAAAAGCAAGAAAGGAGTCTCCTGGTCGGCGGGGCAGAACCGGAACAACCCGTACTTCTGCCGAGGCCGGAAACGCAAGGCAGGATGGCGTGACTCCAGGGAGGGGTGCGGCCAGGGGCTCATTCTCACCAGGACCACTTCCTGGAACTGTGCCATGTCACCCCATTTCTCTGCTAGAGCCTGGCGGCAGGTGGGGAGGCAGACCCAGAAACCTGTTCTGTAGGAGGGCGTTTCAGACCCCGCCCTGCCATGTGGCCCCAAAGGGGATAAGCCAAGAGCAGACCGTTCTTCCTTCACACCTTTGGGAACTGCTCAGCCCATCGGGGTTCACGTTCCAGCCGCCCCACTTACCAGCTGTGACTTCAAGCAAATGAATCACTGCTCAGAACCTCGCTTTCCTCGTCTGTCAGATGGGGCAGTGCCTACCGCGCGGGTGTTGGTGGGAGGAAGCTGAACTGCGTCTGTAAAGAGCTCACAGGGCCCGGGCAGTGCCCAGCGAGAGGTCTCCCATCGTGGTTCCCTTTAACCAGGCAGCAGAAGGAGTAATGTCTCCCCCAGCTCAGGCCAGCTCCAGGCTCATGACTGCCCAGCCGCGCCAGAGGGGCGCATGCATGCACACACACCCAGGGTGGGAAGGGGAGGGACTGCAGGCCTTCTGGAAACAGCCAGAGAAGATAGTGTGGGCCTTCTCCCCCAGGGGTAGGCCAACGCCGTTTAGAGGAGCAAAGGCCTCCTCTGCCTGGAGCCCCGGGCCTCCATCCCACGGCCTCCCCTACAGACCCACCGGGCAGCGCCACCTAGCACTGCCCTCCTGCCCCTTGCCCCGTGCTCCCAGGGTCACACTCTGAGTCACTCACATCTAGACGACCCCACAGTGAGAAACCAAGGCCCAGAGAGGGGAGGGCGCTCACCCAGGGCCCCATCGAGGCCTGGAGACATGGAGCTCAAGCCAGGCCTCCAGTCCCCACAGGAGGGTTGTGCTGTACCTGTTTGGATCCTGGAGGATGAGACGGGCAGGGCAAAGGGAGGGCCCTGATGGGGCCCATGGTCTGCCTGGGCATGACCCTCCCCGGACCGTGTACCATCCTTCTGGACACCCTCCCTCCCTGGGATGCAGGGGCAAGTGGTGGAGTTTTTGTCTGTCTGTCATTAATATTTGCCGTTTCCTCGAGGTCACGGCTGAGACCCAATGTCTGCACAACAGAGAGGGGTGGGTCACCCTCCTCTAAGCAGAGGCTCAGTCAGCGATGATGGCTCCCCTCACCCCTACAAACATCCGCTCCCGTCACTTGGGGCACACTTGGCCGAAGGCCTGCTGCCCTCACCTCCCTTATCTGTAGACGCCACAGAGCAGCTGGGCCGCTCTCACGGGGCGAGGGGGCCGTAGAGCTGCACAGGGGTTTTGTTTCACTTAGATTTCTGCCATAGGGCATGGACACTCACTGGGGAGAGACAGAGAGAAAAAGTGAGAAATCACTCCCCAGGGGTGATGGCCATGCCACAATCCCTTCTCCACTCTCCTCTTGGGATTTTGGGCATGCATGCACACATACCCAGTATGATTCCCAAGCCACTGGGTCTGGGACTCGAACTGCAATTGGCCATGTGGGAGTCTAGTGCCTTAACCACTGAGCTCCTAGTTGATCCATGCAGAGCTTTTATTAAGAGCCACAGCAACTTTCCCAACTCCCAGGATCGCAGGTGGCAAATGTTTCAAAAACAATGCTCAGAGAGGGAGCATCTAAGTGTCTAAGGAGAGGGGTGGGAGGCTGAGTCTGTGACCTCCGCGGCTGGCCTCGTGCCCACTGAGGAGCAGCACCAGGCTGCATGACCCCTGGGGCCGCCTGCTTCCAAGGCAGCCCAGCCCCATGACTGACCTGAGTCCAGCTAGACGGCAGGGTCTGAGTCCTAGGGCAAGGCTGGGGGCCGTGCCATTCCCACGTGTTGGACTCCCACCCCAGAAAGCTCCATGGCCTGTCCGACCCAGCCCAGGGAAAGGCAAGTGTCCAAGGGGTCACCTTCGACAAGGCTGGGGGGGGGGCAAACCCAGGAGTAACGACTAGCAGTCGTAGCAGATGGAGGAGTAGGAGAGAGGAGAGAGGACGCCCCTGGGCTTGCAGCTTGCACACGCCTGCCCCTCCCCCCACACCTTTCCTGCAGAGATGCTGCAAGGGAGGATGTGGCCGGAGGGTGACTGCCCAGGTGGCTGTCCTGCTTGTGCCTCATCATGGCCATCCCGGGGAAGCTCCCTGAGACACAGTGCCCACTCCACCACCCTGCCAAGGTCACAGCTCCCGGGGTCTCTACTTTGTCCTTAAAGTTTATTTACCCATTTCATCCATGACAGAGACAAGAAGCCCACGCCATGACTCCCCCCGGCTCCGTCCATCTGGATCCCCGTGTACCTGGTGTATATGGGGGCACTCCAGGACAGGGAGCAGGTCCTTCCCGTGGTGACCAGCTTTGCAGAGCAGTATTGCTGTACCGGGTCTGACCCTGAAATCTGCAATCTTTTTCAGAGTTTTTTCCCATAGGGTGCCTGTGCTCACGAGAAAGAAACAGAGAGAGACAGTGAGAGGGGAAGCAAGAAATCACCTCCAGAGGGGATGGCCATGCCACTATCCCTTCTCCTCCATTCTCCTCCGGGGATTCTGGGGACACACACATACACACACACCCCAGCGTGATTTTCAAGTCACTGGGCCCAGGATTCGAACCACAGTGGGCCATGTGGGAGTCCAGAGCCTTAACCACTACACTACCTGCTGGCCCCGGAGTCTGTATCTTTTTTTTACGGAGGTTTTTGCCTTAGGGTGTGTGTGTTCAGAAACAGTGAGTGGAAAGTGAGAAATCGGCTCCCGGGAGGGATGGTGACTCGAACGGCCGTTGGCCATGTGGGAGTCCAGAGCCTTAACCACTACACTACCTGCTGGCCCCGGAGTCTGTATCTTTTTTTTACGGAGGTTTTTGCCTTAGGGTGTGTGTGTTCAGAAACAGTGAGTGGAAAGTGAGAAATCGGCTCCCGGGAGGGATGGTGACTCGAACGGCCGTTGGCCATGTGGGAGTCCAGAGCCTTAACCACTACACTACCTGCTGGCCCCGGAGTCTGTATCTTTTTTTTACGGAGGTTTTTGCCTTAGGGTGTGTGTGTTCAGAAACAGTGAGTGGAAAGTGAGAAATCGGCTCCCGGGAGGGATGGTGACTCGAACGGCCGTTGGCCATGTGGGAGTCCAGAGCCTTAACCACTACACTACCTGCTGGCCCCGGAGTCTGTATCTTTTTTTTACGGAGGTTTTTGCCTTAGGGTGTGTGTGTTCAGAAACAGTGAGTGGAAAGTGAGAAATCGGCTCCCGGGAGGGATGGTGACTCGAACGGCCGTTGGCCATGTGGGAGTCCAGAGCCTTAACCACTACACTACCTGCTGGCCCCGGAGTCTGTATCTTTTTTTTACGGAGGTTTTTGCCTTAGGGTGTGTGTGTTCAGAAACAGTGAGTGGAAAGTGAGAAATCGGCTCCCGGGAGGGATGGTGACTCGAACGGCCGTTGGCCATGTGGGAGTCCAGAGCCTTAACCACTACACTACCTGCTGGCCCCGGAGTCTGTATCTTTTTTTTACGGAGGTTTTTGCCTTAGGGTGTGTGTGTTCAGAAACAGTGAGTGGAAAGTGAGAAATCGGCTCCCGGGAGGGATGGTGACTCGAACGGCCGTTGGCCATGTGGGAGTCCAGAGCCTTAACCACTACACTACCTGCTGGCCCCGGAGTCTGTATCTTTTTTTTACGGAGGTTTTTGCCTTAGGGTGTGTGTGTTCAGAAACAGTGAGTGGAAAGTGAGAAATCGGCTCCCGGGAGGGATGGTGACTCGAACGGCCGTTGGCCATGTGGGAGTCCAGAGCCTTAACCACTACACTACCTGCTGGCCCCGGAGTCTGTATCTTTTTTTTACGGAGGTTTTTGCCTTAGGGTGTGTGTGTTCAGAAACAGTGAGTGGAAAGTGAGAAATCGGCTCCCGGGAGGGATGGTGACTCGAACGGCCGTTGGCCATGTGGGAATCCAGCGACGTAACCGCTACGTCATCTGCTGGTCCCGGAATCTGTATTTGTAATAAACTCCTTTGGTGATTCCTGCCAGGGAATTTGAGCAGATAGCAACAGTGTCTCTATCCACAGGCTCTGACCAGCTCCCTGAAGTCACCCCCGGGAGGGCAGGGCAGCTGCGGGCTGGGATGGCTGCAAACTCCTGACCACCTCATCCCCAACCCGGAACGTACAGGAGCTTCTCCCCAGAAGACAGAGCCGAGACCGGAGCGCCCCAGGGTTCCCAGAGGGCCAGCTCCTGCTGTGTCCCTTCCGAGCCAGTGCCGCCTGGACAGGAGGCTGGACTAGTGTCACAGCAAGGCTGCCCCCTGTGGCTGCACCCACTATCTGCCAGATGGTGGCACAGAAGTGATGGGTTGACGCGGACATGTCTAGGGAGGCAGAGACAGCCCATGTCCCTGCAGAGCTGGTGCTGGAGGGACAGCTCCGACACCCTGGCCTGCTGCCCGGCCCCCTCTGCCCTGTGAGCCCATTTCCCGTCCCACTGCTAGGGCTAAGGAAGGTAAGTTTTCACCAGATCAGATGCAAAGAACAGCAACTAGCTAAAGAGTGCCAGCCACAGAGGGCCGCAAGGGAGACAAGCCCGCACAGGAGGGTGGGAATAGGGCCCTGAGCCAATGGCTCCCACTGCAGCCACCAGGGGGCGCCACCCACCAAGGACTGTTTGGTTGCTCCTGAAAATGGTGTGGTTGGGAGGTTGGTGGAAGCATGGTTCAAATGACGGTCAGTTTGTCTTTAGAATAAACGAGAAAAGGAGGGAAGACAAGAGGGGAAAGAAAGGAATATAAGCCAGGAACCATTCCAGGCATTTCAACCCCATTTGAGTCTCACAACCATCCTGCAAGACAGGTGTTTCCTATGGTCGGAATGCGGGCACCCCCCAGATTCCTATGCTGAAACTGAATCCCCAGGGCAATAGTATTAACAGGGGAGGCCTTGGGGGGTGGCTGAGTCATGAGAAGGGGTTGTGCCTTATAAAGGTGATTAAAGAGAGCGCCTGGGGTTCAGGAATGCAGCAAGAGACGCAGTCTGAGAGAGCGGGCCGGGCCATCACCAACACCAACTGCCCAGCCTTGATCCTGGGCTTCCAGCCCCCAGAATGAATCCCTCCCACTTGTCAGTGAGCCAGTACCTACGGGTACTTCCCTGTCGCTGCGGACCCAGCTCTGTGGGCTGCATGCGGTCGAGAACTTCTGAAGGCACACACACTATGGGCCCAGTCATGCAGCAGGCGCATTCTCGGGGTGGCGAGTAGACTGGCTATCAGAACTTCTCCCCAACTTACAGATAAAGAAACAGGCCCAGAAAAGAGGCCAAAGTTCCCGGAGAAGCAGGGTTGGGATTTAAACGAGGTTTGTGCAGCTCCCAGTTGTCGAACCTCTGCTCAGCCTCATGACCCGAGGGTGGGAGGTGAGAGTCCCAGCAGTGAGTGGGGTATGATGAGCCGCAGGACAGCTGGGAGCCACACCCACGATGGGCCACGGGAAGCCCCCACGACCCTGGGTCAGAGTTACAGCTCTCGTTTAGCGACGTCTGAGGATGCCAGGCACCATGTGGGGACTTCCTGCTTCCCACGGACACCTCTTCCGTCAGACCGTGAGGCAGGCGGATGGCCTCCGCTGTGCGGGCGGTAGCCCGGCTGTACGGTGACGTGCCCAAGGGCTGCCAGCTGCTTGGCGGTAGGACCAGGCTGGAACCCAGGTCACTCAGACTCCAGGACTCCGGCGTGCGCATTCTCTCCGCCCGGCTGCCTGGGGTGGTGGGTGTCACAGTACTGGTAAAGGCTGTCCCCCGCTTGCTGGGAGCATACACCTGTGCTACTGCACACACGGGCCCGCACCCCCTCAGCGTGTCTGCATGAGTCTCTGAGGCCGGGGCAACAGCAGCTGGGAGAGGAACGCCGAGGGCTGCCCGGGAGGAGGCGGAGGGCAGGGGAGCTGCCACGGGGTCCCCGCAGGCCAAGGAGCTCACCTGTGCACTTCCACCTGTGCTCTCGCTCGCCTTCTCTCTCTCTCTCTCTCTTTTTTTTAGAGGTTTTTGCCTTAGGGCGCATGCGCTCACCAGACAGACAGACAGAGACAGAGAGACAGAAAGCGAGAAATCACCCCCCAGGGGGGATGGACACACCGCAATCCCTTCTCCTCCATTCTCCTCTCAGGATCTTGGGCACGCACGCACACGCGCCCGGCGTGAGTTTCAAACCATCGGCTCTGGGACACAAACTGTGGTCGACTACGTGGGAGCCCAGCGACATAGCCATTACGCTAACTGCTGGTCCCCCTCTCTCTCTTTTTAATAGGTTCTTGCTCTCTGACACACACACCCATGGGAGACAGAAAGTGAGAAATCACCCCCAGAGGGGATGGCCATGCCCACAGTCCCCTCTCCTCCATTTTTCTCCTGGAATTTTGGGTATTTGCTTGGAGTGACGTTCAAGCTGTTAGGTCCAGGACTTGAACTGCAGTTGGCCATGTGGGAATCCAGCGCCTGAATCACATCACCTCTGTCCCTTCCCCTTTCTCTCTCTCCAGAGAATAGTCTCAAGTCCCCAGGAAGAGTGACAGACCCAGTGTTGGTGGCCACCTGGGGTCAGGCAGGAGCCCAGGGAAGACAGCTGTGGGCTGAGGAGCTGGCCCCACCCGTG